CCGAGATATGCATGCTTTCTAAAAATTTGTTTTTGAAATTCAACAATCGAGCTGAACTCCGGTTAAGTCACGTAATTATCTTGCAGTCTTTAATAAACGTATCTAACCAAAACAACTGCAGAAGATAAAGCAAAAAACACCGTTGTGTTCATTGAGCACAGAGAAGCCGTCCGCTGGAAATACAGGAGAAAGGTGCCCCAGGAAGTGCCAGTTCCTTTGAATGCTTGTCTAAACTTAGCATAGCCGTTGGTATTCCGGTAACAAGAAGGTATTGACAAAACCTTCATCTTCCACAGAGGGATCACTCAATGTGCCAGGTGGTCCCTCAGACGAAGCTGTCGACCCATTCGGCGTATCCTCAAATTGATCAGATCAGATTCTCTGGCAGTGGGAAGCAAGAGTTCATTTCCTCGGACCCGCAATCACCTCAAAGTGGGCATATTGCACCTTTTAGAGCGTAAACTGAATTGGTCCTTTTGAAAACGCATTTTCTCAACTGATCACCCATCTTTAGTATGCAGAGGAATAGGTTTTAAAATTAGCCGAATGGATAAACGCTGTAAGCGATATTTTTTTCTGTTGAAGCAAACGTCAGCGAAAGCAGTTAAAAGTCCTATTGAATCAAACGTTGGACACTCTTGACATGTGCTTCCAAGTACAGAGTTGTCGAATAAAATCCGGGAGGCACTTGCTTACTCATGCAAATTCATCATGCCTACTTAACGTAATACACCTACACTCGTACCATAATTTCACAATATCTCTCAAGGTCTGAGTTTGCATCAGTCACAGTTCCAAATCAAGTAAAGCGTGTGATAGCTTCACCTTCAAGTCAATGCAAACGAAGGAAGAAATAACCTTGCCTACACCGTTTGAGTGTTCAGTCACACATGTGTTTTGGAAACCTTGATAACGCTTGCACATGTTTTTGTTAATCTGACGGCATTTATTCAGGGGCTACTCACTGGGTTGTCTCATTTGGCGAGGTTTGCAATTTGCATTCATATAGACTTATGAGCTTCGATTGCAGCTGGCAAGATTAAGCAAACATGGATGATGTATTGCTTAGCTAGACCTCTGGGCTATACGGTGGAAACAAGTACATTCACGGCTACAGACGTTTGTGCAATGTATGACTCAACAAGACGTTTAAGAAGTGCACCTAGCATTTTGTTGGATCCCGCCCGGTCAAATTAACAGTGATCAATTAAGGTTATACGAGTAAACTTCCTGAGCATCCTCAAAGTGTTCCATTAGAAAGATGTGTTATTAGATTCCGGGGATTGTATTCTATCCAAGATTACGCTGCTGTCACAATCACCACTAAAAAGCTGTCGATTGCACAGAAAGCAGTTTTGGTCTGCGGGATTTTTAAAATTCGGGATGTTTCCGAAACATTCTCATGTAAGTGAGCACGTGCAATTGCTTTTGATAATCAAGCAATGTGTGG